TAAAATATTAATATTCATTTCTTTATATTACTATGTATGTTTTCAAACAATATATTTATTTCTTTATATTATTATCTATGCATCTAAATAATATACTCATTTCTTTATATAACTATTCATGTTTTCAAATAACACTATCAATCTTATGTCCAAACAATACAAAACACCAGCTCTCACCCTTTTGATATTTTTCACACTTTTTTCAAATTATTTAGATAAATTTAAAAATCAATATATAAAACAACGAAAATAAACTTATTTTTACAGGTTTATATATTACATATCAGTTATCCATCGATTATATCGGTTATTCTCGAGTTTTAGTAATTTTTTAAATATGGATATTTTTAAAAATCAAATTTGAATTATCGGATCACTAGTTTAACCGGTTTACCTGCAGTTCAGGTTAAATTTAAAAATACTTATTTAAATGAAAAATATTTTAAATACATAAATTCTTTCAAATACCAAAATATTTGTTAAGATAAGGCCAAAAATTCTAGAAATGTTTATATTATTTCAAAAACTTTAGATAATTATTAACATCAGAAGTAATTAAACTCTCAACTTATTTTTTCTAATACAAACAATTAATTTTGAATTTGATTTTGCATTTCGAACAAATGTACTGAATTAGTATGCTCAATGCACAATTACATCTACATAATACACTCGTTGACGTTATTAATACATAAAACAGTTTTGATATTGTTCTTTAAACATATAATCGAATTGGACAAACTCAAAACTGTATAAAACTAAATTATACAGAGTACATTCGAAAAAATAAAACCCGCACATCCGTGCTGATCATGATATAGTTATCCAATTCAAAGTAATGAGTTTAAAGTTTAAAGTAGAAGACAAAGATACAGTTGAACAGAACAGAAGAGAATCTGTAACATACTGCTTTCAATCTTACACGGGCTCTTGGAATTTGATGTCTTTTTCTTAATAATTTCAAAAGTAAATTAAACTGAAAAAAGAGGGAAGAGAAAGAGAATAAAACAGTCTTGAGAAAACCGAAAAAAATATTGAAGCATTCTCACATGCAAAAACGCATGTTTAAACAAGTAAAATCTTTTGTCGCTTTCTGTTCAGAGTTTAGTGGACTGGAGCCTGATTCCCTTGTCTTGGCTTTGTTTCATTTTTCATGTTGACAATGTATAGTAATAGTCCCAGATTTTTATATTTTTGAAATTTGAGAAAAAACAACGAGTAAACAACACAACTTTCGCAGAAAATCATGGTGTTGAAAAAATTGTCTTGTATATGAATTTTTTTGGTTTTAGACTTGTTAGATTCTTGTGTATGTTTTCCTAAAGCATCACACTGTAAAATCACATATGACAATGACATTATCTGGTCAATTCATCAGCATTGATTCAAAATATGAGTTTAACATCAGCATTGGGCTCAAAAGATGAGCTTTGATGAAACATTCAACCTAAAGAACTAAAAAAAATGCACATTCACAAAAAAAAAAAAAAGAATCTGAACAGGGTCGGTCCATACAAAAGTCTTGCAGCACAATCTCTTCACTTAAGTTTAGCTTTGCAGCTTTGTAGATGAAGATTGTAATGAACAAACGCCAACTCTTCCAAATGTTGTTTCTCACAAGGGCTCATACCGTTGGTGAGCAGCAGCTTCTCTGCTACGTTTCTCTTCAGCTTGTACCTTGAAGCACCTTCACACGTCTGGCTCAGAACCTTAATGGCAAAACTCTGTAGTTCTGGGTGCTCGCTCGCATTCTGAGCCCACCACTTACCTGCAAATGCAGATAAATTTTTAAAAAATAACAACACCCTTTGCTTCACCTGTTCAACAACACAACACCATCAAAAATCAGTAAGTTCACACACCTGGAATGATTCCACTGATCTGATCAGCTTGACTAGCCTCATTAAAGCAACCTTTACCGAGTCTATACATCTTAAGCTGTCTACCAATTTTAGCGACAATGTGACATTCTTGTACTAAACAACCCACAGCTGAGACAAAATCAGTAGTAACTTCTGTGTCATTCTGGAAATCAGTTGAGTAGAAAGCAGCTGGGTTCAGAAAGTAACCAGCAACATGAAGAGGACTGTGAAGGTGGTTGTTCCACACATCATCAATCACATACCATAACGGCTTGTAACATAGTTCCTCGTTGTCGAATTCGTTGGCTATACTCTCCTTTATCCCATCCATAGTGTCATAGACGTATCCAACATGCTGACTGTTGGCAGTAGAAAACATGTGGAGACTGCGAATCAGAGGAGATGTGGATTTCACAAGCTTCTCAACACATTCCCAAAAAAATGAATTGTTAACCAGTTTGGACACTGATATGCCCTCTTCTCTGTTGCATTCTTGAGAAGCAACCATGGCTATCAAGTTGTTCTTGGCTTTAAGAATGTTCTCTGCAGTGAGATACGGTGTAACAAACTCAAACTCAGAGGTGGAGACATGACTAGGATCTTTGAAAAGTTCCCAAACCAAGGGATTGTTGTTAAGGAACTCTGTGATGTTATTGACCTTGTCAAGTATCTCTTTAAAGGAATCCCTTTTCACAATCTCCAGAAGCATAAGCTCAAAGCAGTGAGATATACTCACTGACCAGAAGACGTTTAGGTTCTTACTCTTATAAGACTTGCCTAGTTCACCAACCCAGCCAGAGGTTGAACAAGCAACGATTTGAACAACGTTATGCACTCCAAGTTCCTCAACAACCCCATCTACTAATGACATTAAAGCAGTGACATCGTTCTTCATATCCGTAACATCATAGGAGTTTAGATACACTGGACCCGCTGGACAGTCTGCAATGAAAGTAACTAGATCATTGCCTTTTTGGTCAACCCAAGCATCCAACAAGATGCTGCAACCTGTGATGGCCCATGAATCTATAATCTTCTTGACATGATCTCGCACTTCCTTCAAGGCTTCTTGAAGCATCCATCCATTTAAATCATGAGAATCAGGGATCTTAAGATGCATCTCATCACCACCACCTAAAAGAGACGTTGCAGCAATCATTTCTCTGAAGCTTAGGGAATCCACAGTTGAAAACTCGAAACAGTGTTCATAAAAGAGCCGCCCAATGCACTTTTGAGCTTTGTTTGACAACAAGAACTCTTTATTAGGCTCCTCCTCCTCCACACATGTATTCTCATTCTCATCAGCAGATTCACTTTTTCTAGATGAATAATCCTCTTCTCTTCCACGCTTACGATCATTATAACCCATTTGGACTTCCTCAACTCTCTTAGTCCTAGAAGCAGTGAGAACATGCTCTTCCTCCATAACCATATCTCGAAAAGTCTCTCTAACGATAGATGAAACTTTTTTACAGGGAGTTATACGTCGGCTTGTACCACCCAAGTGACGTTTGAGACGATTCAAGCCACTCATTTCTTTTCCGCAGTGTTTGCATTCAACACGCTTTTCCCTTTCGTTCACCCAAACTCCATGATCATGAATGTCCATGATGAAAGTATCAGCCATTCACCTAATTAAGAAAACACAGATAGACTTAGAACCAAACAGGAACATGCATCAAAAACTTTGCAAGCTCTCTAGCAACCATCAAAACGAGTAAAACGAAATGGTAAAAACTAGTCATCATCAGTCACAAAAATCGAACCTACTTGCTTCACTAGTGATAAAAGAAGATCAGAGCAAACAACTTTTTTTAAACAGACAAGAACCACAAAAACAAAAACGAACTCATTGTTTATCTAAAGCTTGGAAAGTGATAAGAGATTACCTGAGTGTCTAAGCGTGAGTCTCCGATAACAAGGGAGACAGGACAGCAAACCCTTGATGAGAAACGAAACCCTAGTTTCTGAGAGAGGGAAAACTGAGGCCTTTTGTTTTGTCTCCTTAAAGTATTGTAAATTATAAAAGTCCATTAAGGACTTAAATAAGATTACAAGCGTCATAAAAAGATTTACATTATCTCTTTTGAGTGGCCACTAATATTCCCTGTACTCACATATTTGAAGAAACCTGTTATCTCTCAGGATCTTCAGACTCGGCGTTGTTCTCAAGTTTGCGACCTTTCTGAGAGGATTCATATTTACCGCTATGTTTGGCAGATGAAGAAGAACAAAATTAGCCTTACGGCTTTGAGTTGTTCTTCCAACATCTTTTCCATGTATTTAGCATGCTCTTTTATTCGTAGCTGAAGCACTCGTTGCACCTGCACGTTTGATCAATTTACGGGATTGGTTATAGTAACAAATCTTGAAACGTTTCTATTGCTGAACTAAAGTATATTCGGTGTTACCTCGAGTTGTTTATGCAATTTCTTTTGAACTTTCATCTGCATACGCAGAGCTTCAGTTATTTGTATTTCCCTGTCCATGGAAGAAGAGAGACATTACTGAGGATCCGATAAGTAACCATAAACCAAGCAAAGAAACACAAATACACAATTTCATCAGTTCCACTGTTACTCAAAGCCAGTTTCTATTACTCTGAGGATATCTAATATGCGCTAAAAGCCTAAATCTTTGGCTTTGACTCAATCCAGTCACTGGCTGCTGCTTATCCTGGAGACGAGTGAAATGAAACGGCGTCAGTGAACATTGATCCAGCAATGAATCTTTGGCTTGGACTCAATCCAGTCACCGGATTAAATGAAACCAAGGACGTTTCATAGATCTCCTGATGCAACCAAAAGCTAAGTGTTAAAAAGAGAAATTTACTCTTCACATTCTACTTCTCTCTGTGTATCAACAACTACAACACTCTCTCTGTATCAACTTCAACAAGTGATTGATTGTTAAGTACTTTAGGAGAAATGTTTGTCATAGAGACGCAAACTAAGTGATGCCAACTCATAAGAGAAGAACAGACTGAAAATAACTTACATCAAGCCTGGGAGTTTCAGCGCAGTCTGTGAAGGCCAGCTAAAGTTCATCAGATAGGTACACACCAGAAACTGAGTGGCTGTAATCAGAGTGTTCAGGTAGGAAAAGGAAGACTGTTTCCCAAATGTTTCTGAGTCTCAGATGTTGAGGTTTGTGCAGAAGGCGAAGACAGTGAAAACTTGCCCTGAGAACTATTCTTTGGCCATACCTGACCAGGTGAATGTGGAGATTATGACCGCATGAAGGTGGAGACATAAAAGACAAACAAGCTTGACGAATTCCTTTATTGCATTGGTCTTGTTCCGTTGACACAAGCGTATGTCTGTTCATGATTTTTTTGATCAGATCGACTTCATACACTAATCAAAAGTGCCCTCTTAAAAAGATCTGCAATAAGTTTGCAGCCTACACTTAGCTGAAAACCAAACATGAACGCAAGAAGATGATTAGCATAAGAAACATGTTAATGACAAAAGGATTGAGTCAGTTTGTATAGCTAACTCCCAGAACAAGGCATATACATAATCATCCAGTGTTCCATATTTGACTAAATCAAACCAAACCAAACCAAATCCAAGCAAACATAACAAGTTCTACATGTGTCAGATTAACTACAGCATAAGAAAGCTCAACACTTTCGAGGAATTATACCTTCGAGAATCACCAAATGTGGACATCAGAAGCTGAAAGTTTGAAACTTTCTCTGAGAGAAACCCCATCTCTTCAAATCAAAGAGATGAACTTTATCCAAATCAGAAAGCAAAAGGGAGGAAGAGAAGACAAGTGTGCTCTCTTGTCTTTGCCTTGATTGGTCTCAAGCTTCACTGGACCGTCTTTATTACGCTACGCGCTCTTACATCAAGTGTAACTCACTCACCTTAATGAAACCGTTAGTTTACCTGTCCCACGTAAAAAAGAGTCAAGTGGTTGTGCGGCTTTTGCCTTAATGTTTGGTCCACTAGATCTCAATCATACTACTACAAGTTAAGGATCATTATTCATATCCAGAATTTGATCTAAATATATATAGAAATAATAAATACTTAAGCAGAAGGGAAAAAAAAAGAAAAAAGATTCCCGGAGTCCCCAAGAAACCAATCTCAAACTAAAAAAGGAAAGATCATTCATAGTAATTTCCATTTTCAACAAATGAAAAGGAAAGAGAAGGCCACAATGCCAATAACTTTCTCTATCTCGTAGTTAAAAAGCTTTGCCATTTAAATACGACATAAGGTAAAGCTTCCATCATTAATAGTAACAAACTTGTTCCTTTTTTTATACAGAAAAAAAACACAAAAATTTACTGTAAACTTCTTACATATATGGAAAGATCCTCTATCCTTACCTACATATAAAGATTCTGTCTTTTTTTTGTTTGTTTGGTTGTTTGAATCAGATCCTTAATCTTGGCCTTTCGATTAGATTCATGGCAACAACGACTCCATCACACGCCACAGATCTTATTACTTCAGGTAACGTCACAAACCCCATCTTCTCAATTATCCTAAATTTGATTCCTTTTTACTTTTGATATCTGCCTTTCCTTTGGTGTCTGAATCCGTTGACGTGGGGCATGAGTCATGTTTTTGATGTGTTTAGGGTTCGTTGATCTGGATTTTGGATGTTAGAATATTACAAGCTTCTTGTTCAGTTTTTTTGGTATTGGTCTTATGAATACACTGTTTTCACTAGAGGATAATTCTATTGGAAGTGAATCTCCTTTTGTTTGGATCTGGGATCTGTGTTCTTTCTATCTTAAGCTTGGAAACTTGCTATTTGTGTGTTAGTTTAGTTTCACTAGGATCTGTTTTTGTTTGCAAGATCTTCATCTTATTTTAAGTTTTACCGTTTAATGAATGAACACAGAGGAGCAACCTGCTAATTTGGACATCATGAAGGAGCAGGTACTTGATCTTGTTGTCTCTGGTGTTATTGTAATGAAAGATTCACAGAGGATATATAACTTCAAATCTTTGTTTCTGTATCTTGTTGATGCAGCCTGTGACGGCAAACAATGAGCCCTCTCAGGAATCTGCAGTTGTGGTTCACCCAGCAAAAGTTGCTCCACTCTCTGGACCTTATGGTTTAACTGGTGATCTTGCTGGACACTTACCTAACAGCATCCTCTCTCCTCAAGCTCAAGGCTTTTACTACAGAGGTTGGTTTCTGATTCATCTACCTCTTCTTTTTTCCTTGGCTTCTCTGATCAGATCACTACACTGTATCTTCTGAGGTCATGGAGTTTATGTATTGGTATATATGTTTCATATCTTAGCGGTTATTTAAGTATAAGTGGCAGTAGAAAAGGAATAACATAAGTCCTTACCCATGAATTACTATAGTTCTTGAATTGGTTTATTGGATGTATAGAAGCTAATGATGATTCCTATGTATGTTGGGGGAGACAGGTTATGAAAACCCCACAGGTGAATGGGACGAGTACTCTTCCTATGTCAATGTTGAAGGCTTGGACATCCCATCTCCTGTAAGTACTATAAACTTCTCTTTTGGGATCTCTTATTTGAAAACTTTCTAAGTTGTTCATATTCTTTCTCTGATTTAAAACCAGGTTGGCTTCAATGAGAATGCATCTCTGGTATACCAAACAGGATACGGATACAACCCTCAAATGCCATATGGACCATATTCCCCTGCTGCAAGTCCCTTACCTTCTGAGGGACAGTTGTATTCTCCACAGCAGTTTCCGTATTACCAGCAGGTAGTTCCTCCTAGCATGCAATATATATCTTCTCCAACTCAGCCAGACCTCACCAGCCTTGTCGGTGTTGACCAACAAGGTGATAACAACATGGGACCAAGACCTTCCTACCATCCTCATCCTATTGGACCGTTTAATGGAAACCAGCCAAACCTTGGCTTCCCTGAGTGGCAGCAAGGTTTTGATGGGGGGATATGGTCTGATTGGTCCAAGAATTCTGATATGCACAGACAGTCTTCTCTTGTTTCACCGGCTTTATCTCCTCAGCCACTCGGTTCATTTGGATCATATGGCCACAACATGGTTTGTTTCACTTTTATTATCTAACGCATAGATAAACCAATGGTTGTGATTGGACTATATGTTGAAAGCGGATCCTTGTTTTTTTGTGTTGTCAGGGGTCACAGCGACAGAGATCGTTTTACGGTTATGGATCTGGTTCAAACTCTTACAACAGAGGCTACATGCATAGTGGTGGTCGTGGCCAGGGCTCTAACTATGGAAGTAGACTAGTTTCTAATGTTGGCATGGGAAACCAAAGCTGGATTGGTGTTGACAACATTCGAGGACGTGGTCCATCCCTAAGTGGAGGTTATAATGGTAACTTTGACATCCTCAACGAGCAAAACCGAGGACCAAGGGCTTCAAAGCCCAAGACTCAGGTATCAGAGGAGATTGATTCTTCTGCTGATACTAAGAAACATAACAAAGGCAGTCCAAAGGAGATTGAGGACTCCAAGAACAACAATAATGACTTTGTCACAGACTACAATAACGCTAAGCTCTTCATAATCAAGTCTTACAGTGAAGACAACGTTCACAAGAGCATCAAATACAATGTATGGGCTAGCACCGCTAATGGCAACAAAAAGCTTGATGCTGCTTATCGTGAGGCCAAGGAAGAGAAAGAACCATGTCCAGTGTTTCTTTTATTCTCTGTATGAATCTAAAACCATGGATGATCAAGCATGCCTTCTTTCTGCAGATTTGCTTACTTGGTTTTGTAACTGCAGGTAAACGCTAGCTCTCAGTTCTGTGGTGTAGCGGAGATGATTGGACCTGTGGATTTTGAGAAGAGTGTTGATTACTGGCAACAAGACAAATGGACTGGACAGTTCCCAGTGAAGTGGCACATTATCAAAGATGTTCCAAACAGTCAGTTCCGACACATTATATTAGAAAACAATGACAATAAGCCTGTGACTAATAGTCGAGACACTCAAGAAGTAAGTAGACTCTTCTTGTCCTTAAGAAACCTCTTTTGAAAACTACTGCATATTCACAACCGAACAAAAAAAACTACAGGTGAAACTGGAGCAGGGGATTGAGATGCTGAAGATATTCAAGAGCTACGATGCTGACACGTCAATCTTGGATGATTTTGAGTTTTATGAAGAGCGGGAGAAAATAATCCAAGAACGGAAGGCGAGAAGACAGCCATCTGGAGTAGTAGAAAGCGAAGATAAACCAGCTTCTGCTGCGTTGCAGACAGACATGATCAAGAACATGTCCAAAAGTTTTGCTCAGGTTGTCCGCTTAGACGAGGGAAGCAAGGAAGCAGGAAAGACAAGTTCATCTCCAGATGCAGTTACAACAAATGTAGCCGTCTCTTCTGGTCAATCCAACTAGTAAGTAAAGTAAAAGACAACAAAATTAGCAAAGACTTTTATGTTTTCAATTTCCATAATGATATCTTGTTTGTTCTAAGAAGGGTATTCAAATGAAACTTCACATCTGACAAAGTCTAGTTTCTTGTGTAAAGTAAATGCCTCTTTTGGCTCTTTTTATGTTTCCCTATTAGCCAAATTTGATTCATTTCCCTCATTTCAATGTTATGTAATACCCTCTCTCTTCGGGGTTGATAGAAGAAGAAGATGTATGAAAGACAACATAATGTTGCTCTCTTGTAAAGTTGCTTCATATATCTTTGAAGTCAGTTATTTAATAAACATGCAGATTACATCCACTAATCAAAAGCTCTCAGCTTTTATCACAGTTTTGTTACATTTTAATACTTTTTCATTTCCACATAGTAGTTAACAAAAGGAGTATGTATTAGCTTGGAGAACATGTGTTCAGACAAACCTATATTCAGAGAAATTGTTGTGCTTTGATGGTCCAACAGCATATTATCCAAAAACTAAACCGGAAACGCACCAAAACCAAATAGAAATTCACAAAACCAAAATAGTTCCTATTTCTCTAAACAAAAAAAAACAAAACTGAATAGAAAACTAAATGAATGAGTACCTGAATATTCAAAATATAATTAAAAATAATCATTTTAAAACATAATTTCGAGAAAATATCTAAAAAGCCAATCTATATTATAATAGTACAATTTCTAGGCTCCACAGCGCGCCACGTCAGCAGTTTTGTGGGTCCCATAGGTATTTTTTAAAAAGGAATAGTCTTGGTAAGATGATTAGGAACAATGAAATATACTAAACCGGAAACGCACCAAAACCAAATAGAAATTCACAAAACCAAAATAGTTCCTATTTCTCTAAACAAAAAAAAACAAAACTGAATAGAAAACTAAATGAATGAGTACCTGAATATTCAAAATATAATTAAAAATAATCATTTTAGTTTTATATATAAAACATAATTTCGAGAAAATATCTAAAAAGCCAATCTATATTATAATAGTACAATTTCTAGGCTCCACAGCGCGCCACGTCAGCAGTTTTGTGGGTCCTATAGGTATTTTTTAAAAAGGAATAGTCTTGGTAAGATGATTAGGAACAATGAAATATACTTTAGCCGAGTGGTATAAAGTGTCTAACTAAGCCTGCAAGATTGTGGGTTCAAACCACGTTGTTATCATCTATTTTTGATTTGGAATATTACCATATGGGCTTTTTGTTTATAGGTTTTTATGTTTTTTTTGCTTATTATTTTAAAGATCAAAATAGTTGGATAAACTCTAAAGTTTAACAAGTTCAAACCCAAAAATAGTTAATAATGGATCCAAAAACGAACAATATAAAAAAAGAAAAGTAAGTTCCACGCGGTTGCCTACGCGGATGGCTTAAAGAGCCTTAAAACTGTCATATTATAATATATCCCAACCCAAAAATAATATAAAATGGATCCAAAAACGAACGGGCCAAAAAACAAAAACAAAAAAAGAGTCTCATGCGGCTGCATACGTGGATGGCTTAATGAGGCTTGAATAATATAGATTAAGAGCTCAAAAAGTTAAATCATTGTACATATTTCCTAATATATATTTTCAAAAAAATTGTATGTGAGATATAATAAAAAACCAACAAAACTTAATGATTTTTCCTTATTTATTACATGTATATGTAATTTCTCTTATATTTTAATAACTACTATAATTTCATTAAAACATTTCTCACCACCGATTCCAAACTCGGACGAATGGATTCGCACAGTCGATACACCGTATATAAAAATGCTACATCATTTATTAAATAAACTCAAACTTACAAAAAACCATATATAAAATATATCTAATGAAACTTAAACAACGAATATTAACTTAATTAAGGTTATTTTCAAATTGATAAATCATTTAATAAAAATATAAATACTATAAATATAGAATTATATCAAGTTTTGACCTACGATATAAAAACTATTTACAACAAAAAAAAAAACACCTACTTTTACACACTAAAAATTGTATTATAGTCTATATTCCTATAAACCTTACTTTGCATATAAAAACATTAACACATTCTTAATATATAAAAAATTTTATATGTGAAATAAAATAAAATAAAATAAACAACAAAATTTAAGTACTTTTCGTTATTTATTAAATGAATATGTAAATTCTCTTACATTTTAATAACTACTATAATTTCATTGAAAACATTCCTCACCACCGACTCCAGACTCCGGTGAATGGATTCCCACAGTCGATGACGCCATAGATAAAAATGCCACATCATTTATGAACAAAACTCAAACTTACAAAAAACCATATATAAAAACCTATCTAATGAAACTTAAACAACAAATATTAACTTAATTAAGGTTATTTTCAAATTGATAAATCGTTTAATACAAATATAAATACTATAAATATAGAATTATATCAAATTTTGACCTACGATATAAAAACTATATACATCAATAAAAAAAATATACACCTACTTATACACACTAAAACTATATTATAGCCTAACTATTTCTATAAACCTTACTTCGCATATAAATAACAATTAACACAATATATATACAATAGTTTCACTTTACAGTCTTATACATTCTTTCCATTTCATTATCATTTGATGTCATTAGAATAATCCACTAAAGCAACAATTGAAAAAAATACACGCAAACACAATGATCTCAGCCCCGCGCTTGCGCGGGGAGTATGCAACTAGTAATAATAATACGATTCATTTTGCTGAGACGACCATTTACCCTCCTCCTGATATCTCCTTTTTATGGTCCCTACCTACTGTCGGTCCACTGGGGAAGTGTGTAATGAATAGGTTTGTTTTCGAATCTTATAAGATCGAAGAGCTGAAACGAAAGGTCGAAGGAGCAGGTGTCCCCGCACCTACACGTGTGGAAGTTATCATGTCACTTGTTTGGACATGCGCCAGAAATGCCTGGCACTCTAACTTGGTGTCTCCAAGGTCAACGTTAATGCTTCAAACAATGGATTTGCGCTCTAGGGTCCCTTCTACGGATGTTTTCTCCATCGGAAACCTACAGACAATGTTCCTTCTTAAGAGAGGCGTGGAAAGCAGCAGCAGTTTCGACTTGGAAATCTGTGAAACGGTTGCCGAATTTCGCAAGGCCAAGGAATCAGTCAACGAGATGATTAAAGAGAATCTCCAAGGCAACACACTTGGTCAGTCTTTAATGCGTGTCAATGGAGATTTTGCGTCAAGTCTCACTTCAGAGACAGACTTGTACTCAATGACAAGCTGGTGTAGAAAGCCTTTCTACGAGGTTGACTTTGGCTGGGGTACTCCTGCATGGGTTGGATCTACCTCGATATATAACAACATTGCATATGTATGCCTCATTGACTCAAAAGATGGTGCAAGTGTAGAAGAATGGATAAGCTTACCCGATCAAGATATCCCCATCTTCCTCCGTGACCAAGACCTTCATGCTTATGCCGTTCTAAACCCCCCGGTCCTGATCTAACCAATCACATCTTACCATGTGGAAACAATTAATTGCCTTGACTCTCCATCCCATTTTGTGCCACGCTTGGTTTAATAAATTGCATTTCACTCTCCTTACATTTCATGTTGGGTTTACTATGACGTGTTTATCTTGTTTTTGTTTGTTCGCTATATGTTAATGCTTGCTATTTTTGTTACCTTCACTTTTTGTATCGTTTTTTCGACCATAAACCCTTAATCCTAGGGTTCCAAACACTAAAACCCTAAACTAAACCGTAGGATTCCGAACCCTAAACCCTAAACTAAATCCTAGGTTTCCAAACCCTAAACTAAATCCTAGGTTTCCAAACCCTAAATCTTAACCCTAGGGTTCCAAACCCAAAATCTTAACCCTAGGGTTCCAAACCCTAAAACCCTAGGGTTCCAAACCCTAACACCCCTAGGGTTACAAACCCTATAACCCTAACCTTAGGGTAGGGTTCCAAACCCTAAAACCCTAACCCTAGGGTTCCAAACCCTAACCCTAGGATTAGGGTTCCAAACCCTAAAACCCTAACCCTAGGGTTCCAAACCCCCTAGGGTTAGGGTTCCAAACCCTAAAACCCTAACCCTATGGTTCCAAACCCTAAAAACATAGGGTTCCAAACCCTAACCCTAGGGTTAGGGTTCCAAACCCTATAACCCTAAACCCTAGGGTTCCAAACCCTAACCCTAACCCTAGGGTTCCAAACCCTAAAACCCTAAACCTAAACCCTAAACCTAGAGTTCCAAACCCATTCCAAACCCCAAACCCTTAAACCTAGGGTTCCAAGCCCTATAACCCTAACCCTAGGGCTAAACCTTCTAAGGTTCCAAACCCTAAATCTTAAACTCTAAACCCTAACCGTGAGTTGAATGTTTTCAACGGATTGAAAGAAATGAAATGAATTTATCAAAAAAAAGGAAGATGAAATTGTTCCAATTCTGCCACATGAAAAAACTATGAAAGGAATAAATGTTGGATATGATCCACATTCTTTGTTTTATTGGTTTCTAAAACTTGTATTTTTTTCTTCTTTCAAATTATTCAAATTTAATTATTTCATGGAAAAGTATTTTATTAAAATAACAATATACCAAAATTCAACATTTTATGATTTATAAATAAAGACTCGTCACATTTCATTTGGATATAAAAATTCTTCAATTTTCATTATATTTTGATTAGCCTCTAATCAACTATTCTGTGTGTTTTAATTGTTTTTTTTAATAAATCTTAGTAATATTGTTTTGACATAGAAAATATTATATAATGTTATTTTAACTATCTAAAAGGTCAGTGTTTGTTCATAAACTACAAACGTAAACCAATTACAATATGAGATAAAAAAAAAGGATGGTATGATGTTAAATTTAGTTAAACAAAAATATTATAAGTGGCAAATTCAGATAAATGTTATATTATTAGGTGAAAGAAATAAAATATAACGTGGAATGTTAAAAATGTAAAAGGAGTGTCTTGAAAAA